GCACTTCTGCCCCTATTCATTTATTAGACTGAGCCTTCTAGAGAAGTATCCTTTTAGAATTTCTCTGGAAAGGAAGAAATAACTCTAGAACTTGACAGTAGCTGTCAAAATAGCCAATCAGGTGAACTAAATGACCCTTTAGCATTTCTGACCACACTGTAGCTGAATCTGGGAGCACTAATCATTTGTCCCTATTGGACCAGTTGGGTAAAACCATCAACTGATGGCAGAATCCACAATACATCTAATCCAATTCAAATAGATCCCTCAAACCCTTTCCCAGAATTAATACCCCATAAGGAATGAAGCCCTTTGAGGCATTAAGCCTATAAGAGAAAATCACAGGATTCGGGGCCTCATTATCCCTTGCACTAGTCCCAGTGACACTCCATTTTACCTGTAAAAAAACGAGGGATGAGGTTGGCAGTTTGTCCAGAACCTCAAAGAAAAATTACAATATGTCTAAATTTAGGTTCAATATTTGGGACATCTGATATCAGAGCAAGAACTATGCCTGGATCCAGGTAGGCTTCATGGGGCCAAGTTTCTCAAAGTTTCCCAAGGCCCGAAACAGTGCTGGTTGAGAGATTTTCTTGGGCTAGTTGGCTGTTGTTGAAACTGGATCCCAAATCTTTCTCATGACAAAGCCTCTGTATGTTTTACTAAAGAATCACAGTCCTGACCCAATTTATGGGAAGAATAGGATGACATAGCCTTTAAAGCCTTAAAGAATTCACTGAACCCTTCAGCTCTTGGGCATCCCAATTATCAGATTCCTTTTTTGTACACAAAAAGGAAGGGGTACTCATCCCAAGACAGTGATCACCATAGACCCCTAGGGTATTATAGTTAGCAACCGAGTACTCCCCTTGCCTTAGATCTGTTATTGCTACTACCCTCTTGATTAAACTCACAGAAGAAATTGTGAGATCCCCTTTAACCATCTTCATAACTCATGCAATAGAAGCTCTCCTGGGTACTCATCACGCCCAGCATCTTTCAGTCAGTCACCTCACATAACTTTCACATCATAACTTTAATCCAGCTACTCTTCCCTTCCAATACGAAGCTCCTTTTGACTACCTGGCACTAACAGATCACCTCCTGACCCCTTGTGAGTATCTGTCAGAGACTCCTTTGGGTAGTGCTGATTTCTCATGGTTTACAGTCAGCTTACATTTAAAAATAAAAATTGTAGGTACTGTGCTAGATATGCTGTTATAATCCCTGTCAAAGTGGTTGAGGTAGCATTTTTACCTTTGGCTACTTATGTGAATTATATGTCCTCACTTGGGCTTGTATTTTAGCCAAGGGCAAAAGGCCAACATTTATACTGACAAGTCGATATGCCTTCAGAGTAGCTCATGATTTTGGAATGTTATGGAAGCAACATGGCTTCCTTATTTCCAGTATAAATAAAATTAGACATAGCCTTATGTTCAGGAATTATTGGATGGATTAGCTATTAAGATCCAGGGCATTCTGAACTTGACCCTTTGGAAGCTATAAGAAATCATCTCGGTGACATTTTTATATGGAATCCTGCCCTTAAAGGAACCAACAACAGTCAAACCTCTGTCATGGTCCAAAGGGATATTTCCCCAGCTGATAATTCAGGAAAACTGGCCAGAGACACCCAAGAATTGGCTACATAAAAAGAAAAACAAGATTGGAAATATGACAATTATTGGTTTGATTTAAAAAAAAAAAAAAAAAAAAGCTCTGGTTTGGACCCAGTTCTACTGGAGACTCTAAAGTTTCCACTCCTAACTACTGTACATGCATTAAACCATTGGTCCACTGACAAAGTGATGACATTTATGAATCAGTATTGATGAGGAAGTATTAACAAGGCCATGAAAAGCACCTACCATACTTTTCGCATCTGTCCACAGTATAACCCAGGAAAGCCTGTTTGCACTGCCCCTGGACATTTTAAATTGCCTAATGGACCATTCGGTGTTTGGCAAATAGATTTTACATGATTTCCCCTGTCTCATGGATGTAAATGTTTTAGTCATGATCTGTGTTTTTTTACTAAACTGAAGTTTTCTCTTCTAAACGAGCTACTGCCTCTTCTATGGCTAAAGTTCTGGTGGAGGAGACAGGGCAAGTGGGAACCTCCAGAGGCAAACTGTTTTGGAAGCAGAGGGTCAAACTGGGTGTTGCCAACCCAGCTGTGTTCCTGAGCCCCTCTGGGTTACTGAGACTGGTTGAGTGGCAGTCGCACTCAGACCTGCCTGCCAGAGGAGAAGGCAGAGCCTCTGAGGTCTCCTCGTGGTGCTGGTATGTGGGGATAAAAATGTTAGGAAGTTCTTGCCAGTTCTGACTGGGGGCTCAGCCTCTGAGTGAAGAGGGTAGTTTCTGACTCAGTCCAGACCTGGAAGCCCTGGAGGGATCAGAGAGCACCAGGAAGCTTTTCCTCATCCTCTGGGCAATGCCAGCTGCTGGCTGGGAGCATTTAGCTGGAGCTCCCTTGGATTGCTGAGCTTTGAGATGTGTGCTTCCAGCGTTGTGAAATTCCTCTGGTTTGTTTATGGAAAGCTTGGGCTGGTGACATCTGCCGAGGAATCTCACTTTCCTCTTCCTAGAAAAGACATTGTTGAGGAATAGGTTTCTTGTTCTTTTAAAGTAGACATTTATGTTAAAGGAGTCAGTGGATGCTATGATCCCATGAGCAGTTCATGGGCACCTAATTTGCGCCCTATTGAAAAAAGACAGTTGAGGTTGCTGTCAGTCTGTAATGGACAGACAGATGGACACAGACCTGGGAGAGATCTGGGGTGCGGGAACAGTTGGGGAAACCTTGGGCCCGTGGCTTACTCACAGGGCACCTCTCAGCTTTTCCAGAGCCTTCCTTGTGGGCCAGTCTTGCATAACATGACATAACTCGAACAGCCAAGTTTCCCAGCACACCTGTAGCTTCCTTCCAGGAAGGAAGGCATCGTGGAGCCTGCCAAACTTGATTACACAAGCATTCTGACCACGGACAGCAGTTAGGCCAACTAATCAAGTTAAAGATTGACAAAAAGGCCCAGGTCCCTTGGCTCGATCCCTCACTGGGGGAACTCACAGCCTTTTGCACAGAAGTGGGTAAAATGGTCAGGGTGGAAAAGAAGTTTCTAGAATTCCTTGATAAGGGATTCCCATGAACTATAGTATTAAAGCCTGTTGCTGAATCGCTGACTCAAAGAGATTGAGAGAACATGAAAAACGTAATGGTTGATAGGATTATGAAAGTTGGGATATTTAAATAGGCTTGACATAAAGAAGTTGTGTCTCCTTTACCTAATGTTTTGTGGGGAGGGATATTATGTCCTATTGGGGGATACTTCCCTACCTAGTATTGTAAAACTGAGACCTGTTGATGAAGTCCTAATAGGGGCTACAGTTAGAAACATAAGAGGTGATGGAATTCAGGTAACAGTTAGTAGGAGAATTGGTACATTTGATCAGGCTTGATGTGAAGTGGCTATATTTCTTTTACCTGATTATATTATGGGGATGGACATTGTATCTGACTGGGGATCATGTCTCTACCTAATCTTGTAAAACAGGCACATAAATCCACCCATCAAGCCACATTAATTGGATGTGCTAAATGTGTACCTGTGCAATTGCCTGAACCTACGCAGTGTGAAACAGAAGCTGGAGTGCCAGTGGGGACAGATTTCTTGGCAACAGTCCATGTGGAGTGTAGACTGGGGCTGATGACAACACCCCATGAACACCTCCTAGTGATGACTACTGTGACTTTGACCAAGAGAATTTCCATTTGAGCGGCATTTACTACCTTGCTTTCAAATATAAATTGAAACTACTCCCTATGACTAAATGACATAAAATAAAACCTGAAATACCCACAGCGTCTTCAGTGACATCAGAGAAACGCTCTAATGGGTATTGTAGTGCCCCAAAGAGTTTGATAATAAAATGGGAATGGTTTGTACAGGATCATGCTGCCTGGGAACACAAGGAGATACGAGCAGGGAGCCTCTTTTCCCCTAGGACCAACTTCGGAATGGTGTGAGGAGCTGCTGGATTCTATTGTCACCTAGACAGTGCCCTATAGATAGTTCTTTACTGACCAACAAAGAGCCGTTTGGTTCATGGATGGCAGTTCCACAGTGAATGGACAATATCCTGTTTGGAAGGCTACCACTCTGATGGAAGAAGGTAAAAACAGATCAGCCCAGTCGAGTCAGTGGCCAATGGCCTAGTCATCCAGTCAGGGCACGACTGTGCAAATCCTTGTGGGAATTTGAGAGGTGCATTAAAGTAGGACATGTTAATGCCATCTGAAGAACCCCCTCCCAAGTGTGGAAGGTTTGGAAGGTAGACACCTTTCAGTGTGCTCACTTGAAGTGGCCACCTGGGCCCATGACATGAGTGGACATGGGTTGGAGCAGTGCAGAGATGGTTTGAATCTAGACATAGTCTTCTTGCACCCTGTAAGGTACAAAATGCCAACAAGAACTGTTGTCTGTCAACAAGAGTTAGACAACAGATGGCTCTGGGGAAGATACTTCAAAGGAAGTGGATTACATTGGACGATGCCAGTAGCCTGGGTGAGGGTGGGCTGTAAATGAGTCCTAACGGACTCTTAACTCTGAACTAGGTTTTGCATTTTCAGTGGCAAATACAAGTGTTCAAAATCCTGTAAAAGGATTGGAACGGAAAATACTGCACCAGTTTGTACCACCAGATTACATTTCTTCAGACCAAGGGACACCCTTTACAACTGATAATGTCCCACAATGGGCAGAGAGGGGTCCTCCTCAGTACAAGTTTGATAGAGAATCGAAATGGGCAATTAAAACATTGGTTGTCTAAAACAGCAGAAAATAAAGGCATGGCGGGCTGGCTTACATGCCTTCTTGAGTGTATGCTCACGCTCAACATGAATTGGGGCTTAGGGATCTAGGGAAGGTGTGGGAGCGGATGCTGGTTTGAGTTCTTCCCCACATCACTGCGACTTTCTTTTTTTCTTCCTTATGCAGTGGTCCCAGGACCAGGACTTCAACTGCGGGTGCTGGAAGCAGGGAGGATTCTTAAGAAAGTAATTATACTGGTAAACCTTTATGGTATGTATATACAATGGAATATTACTCAGCCATTAAAAAAAAAAAAGAAATCTTAACATTTGCCATGATATGGATGAATCTATGCTGAGTGAAATAAGTCAGAGAAAGATAAATACTATATGCTGAGTGAAATAAGTCAGAGAAAGATAAATACTATATGATTTCACTTATATACGGAATCTAAAGAACAAAAGAAATGAACAAACTAAACGAAAACAGACTCACAGATACAGAGAACAAACTGGTGATTGCCAGAGGGGAGGAGGGTTGGGGGACTGCGTTTAAAAGGTGAAGGGATGAAGAAGTACAAATTAGTAGTTACAAAACAGTCATGGGGACTTAGAGCATAGCAAAGAGTATATAGACGCTATTATTGTAATAGCTGTGCGTAGTGTCAGATGGGTGCTAGAGTGATTGGGGGATCACTTTATAAATAATGTAAATGTCTAATCATTGTACTATATACCTGAAACTAACATGAAATAAAGAAGAACAGAAAAAAATTTTTGGTGAGTGAAAACTTAAGTTTTTTTTTCATGATAATAAGTGTTCTTCCTGGTGCTCTGACTCATGGGTCTTGCAAGAAATGGCTCTTAGATTCATGTTCTTACTCTTTCTATTTAATAACGTCCAGATCGTCCGTTCTTTGTTAGATTGGACTTTGTTATGCAGGTGTAAAAAACTGCCCAGGGTTTTTTGGAGGCAAAGGGAGTGGGATGCAATATCTAATGGGAGAATAATTTTTCTCACTCTTTCAGGACAGGTTCCCAGCAAGTGAAAGCTCTGGAAAATCTGACTGGTTTCTGCAGGCTGTGGGAGGGAGGCTGAGCAGCAGAACTCAAAGAACCGATCGATATGTCCACAGAAGAGCTGACGGGTTCATGGACCGCTGGATTACCTCAGAAGTCCTGGAAGGGTCCATTTCATCTTAGATTCATTCAAGAAATATGAGTTTGTTATCTCCGTTGTGGGTTGAACTGTCACCTTAAAAGATATGTTGCAGTGCTACTCCCCCCAGCTGTGAATGTAACTTTTTTCGGAAATCGAGTCTTTACAGATGTAATCAAGTTGAGCTCATACTAGATTAGGGCGGACCCTAATCCAATATGACTGCTGTCCTTCTAAGAAAGAAGAGACGCAGACTCGGACACAGAAGAATGCCATGTGAAGGCAGAGGCAGAGATTGGAGTGATGTGGGGCACGGGGGTAATTTTATGTCAGATTTCCTAAGGACCTGATGGGGCAGGTTGTGCCTTCGCCCCATCAGGCAGAATTTGGGCTGACAGTAGATGGTGCTGTTTTGCCTAGTGGTCAGGAGAGCCCACAAGTTCTGTACCTGTATGACCCTACCCTGTGAGGGTGGCCTGAGGAGGAGGTACTACCTAGACTAGCATTGCTGCCTGCAATCTAGACCAGCACAGTGGCTGAGCCTAACATCCCTTCTAAGGATGGAGAAATCTGGGTAAAGATAAATGAATGACAAATAGAGAGAAGGAGAAACAATAGCAGAGGGCAAAAAGGGATGAATAACTGGGTTATGCAGCAAGGGAAATCCAACATTTTATTTATGCCTTGAGAGAGGCTCAGCCCAAGATGGTACTGCCTCTTAGCTCCATTATACTAGATGCCTGAAAGGGTGAAGCCATGTGTTTGCTGAGACCACGCATACTGTTGGAACATGACAGAGTTGAATGGCAGCCTGCAAACCTCAGGAACATTGCCCTGAAAGATATTTACATATGATGATAGACTGGATAATTATTAATGACTGAATGAGATTCTAGTAATGTGCCAGTATCCTGACTTATATGATTGTTTTGCTATGAGGGATCAAGTTCTAAGACTAGGGAGTAGACTGTGATATTGTAATTTGTAAGCTATTTAGTCTTTATCCACAGTTCCTGGCTCGCAGCTCCCCAAACCCTTGGAATTTTCTAAGTGTACCTTCTTAGGTTACTGAGGTGGCTTTCTGAAGCACCTAAGGATGGATCCTGGTTGCCAATGGAGCTAATCATGTGATTAGTAGATTGGACTTTCTGTCACCACACATACACACACACACACACACACAGACACACACACACCCACCCACAAACACCTCAGGGAAGGGAGAGGATCTGGAGGTTGAATCAGTCACCAATGGCCAATGACTTAGTCAATCATGACTCTATAATGAAGCTTCCATAAAAGCCCAGGTAGACAGCACATTGGTCCTTTTGGGGAGAACTTCTACATTAGTGAACACATGGTGGGGAAAATGGTGTACCTGGATGGGGCATGGAGGTTCCATGCCCTTTCCCATGCCCTGCCCTATGCATCTCTTTTATCTGGCTGTTCCTGAGTCATATTCTTTAATAAGCCTGTGATCTAGTAAGTAACATGTTTCTCTGATTTCTGTGAGCCTCTCTAGCAAATTAACCAAACTCGAGGAGGGGGTCATGGGAATCTGATTTATAGCCAGTTGGTCAGAAACTCAGGTAAGAGTCTGGGCTTGCAGCTAGCATCTGAAGTGTGTTGGGAGCAGTATTGTAGAACTGACCCCTTAACCTGTGGAATCTGATGCCACCTCCAGGTAGATAGTGTCAGAATTGAGTTGAATTCTTAGACAGCCTGCTGGCGTCTGAGAATTGCTTGTTGGGTGGGGAATATTCCCCCTTTCCACGTTGCAATTGGGTCCAGGAACCAATTCAAACCTGTAAGAAGTATTGACTTGTAATCCTGGAAAACTAGAAGCTAGAAGTTTCTTCAAATTTCTGAGAGAATGTGATTTCCATTCAGAAATTCTATACCCAGAAAAACCTTCCATTCAGCAGAAAGCCGTTGATATCAAAAGGACAGATTACATAGCTCCTATATCCTCATTTGCATGGTGCCTGTGCTGAAGCTTAGAAAATGGATGTGCGGATTGGGGCAGGAGGCTCCCAGCTCCCAGAGGAAGATCTCCAGAGTAAATATGGAACTGATGGTAGGTGATCTCATGTGCTTGAGGATCAGGGAAAGTTATCGCAAGGAGCTTGACATATCTCTTGGAACATTTGTGGGAAAATAACAAAGTAAATATATAAAAAACAAAGTAAAATAGTGACAGCACAATGAGAAAGGAGATGTAATCATAGTACACTATTTGGCTCAGCAGAGAACAATATTTATTTGGTAATAATAGAAACACTGGCTGATGATTTAACCAAAATTGAGATAAAGTGATATTCGGAGAATGGAGAGATGAGAAGGGTATTAGGGGTGCAAGAGAGCCAAAGCTTCATCAAAATTAGTAGGAAGCCATTTGATGCTACCTAAAACAGATAGAAAATAACAGTTTGTAATCTAAGTCAGTGGTTCTCGATTGGAGGCAATTTTGCCCCCAAGAACACATTTTTGGTTGTGGAGTGGGAGTGTTAGTGGCATCTACTGTTGCATTAGTTTCCTGTTTGCTTCTATAAAAAATTTAGTGGCTTAAAACAACACAAATTTACTATCTTATAATTTGGGAATTCGGAAGTTCAAAATGGGTCTCTGATAAAAATCAAGGTGCAGGTGGGCTATATTCCTTCTAAAGGCTCTAGGGGAGAATCCAGTTCCTTGCCTTTTCCAGCTTCTAGGGATGCCTGTATTCCATGGCTCATGGCCTCTCCATCCGCAAGGTGCATCTTTGCAACCTGTTCTCCTTGTCACCTCTCTGACAGCCTCCCTCCTCCACACTGAAGAACCCTTGGGATTACATTGGGCCCTCCTGAATGATTCAGGATGATGTGCTTATATTTCAGCTGATTAGCATCCTTAATTTCATCTGCAAGTTTACCATGTACAGTGAATATTCACAGGTTCCAGGGATAAGGGTGTAGACATCTCTGGGGAGGAATTATTCTACCTACACCAATGAGTAAAGGCCAAGGATTCTGCTAAACATCCTACCATACACAGGACAGCCCCACAGATGTCAGTAGTGCTAAGGTGATAGATTTGGCTTCTGGCTAGGAGGAGGCAAAGGGAACCCCCTGAGGAGCTGAAATCTCCATCTGGGCTGTGGGCACAGATATATACATATGTAACATGTAATTATTAGTTAAGTTCATGGTTTTAAATTTAAGTTAGAAGCAGTTGTCCATGGAGAACAGGACTAGGATGTGAAAGAGTGGCACAGGGACAGCTTTATTTTTTCCCCTTGTACTAGCATTTGATGTATAATTTTTTTAGTGGCAAAATAGATTTGCTCATTCACTGTCATTAGGACAGAGTTCATGTTGGAGACCAGGCTCCGTGCTTGAGGGTGGGGGCACAAGTAGGAAGCAGACATGGGCCCAGCCCATCGAGGGCTTGGTCTGGTGTGTGTGGAAGGCATGTGCAAATAGTCTGAAGCCATGATCAGTCAATGTCTAGAAGGGGGCTGTCATGTGGATGAAGGGAGAGGTGAGCCCCAAAAAGGAGAGTTTGCTCTCATGGGCTATTAGGATTATCACCTGCCATCCAGTTTGGCTCCAGACTTCTGGTGGGGGAAGTGAGGGCCTCTTGTCACTGGGCCTCTGGGCTCAGGGCTGGGCCAGGTACTGAGCTCTTCTTTTGTGCCCCAAATTGGGAGACCCAGGGACCATCAAGCTATTTTACATTTTGCTCCCCCAGCTTGGCTCTGGGCTCCCTCTGCTGAGTGCCTTCCGCACACTTCCACCTGACAGGCACCCCCTACCCTTCTGTTCCAATGTGGCCTTAATACTTCTTCTGCACCCTGACATTTCACTCCCAAGGGTCCACAGCCATAAACAAGCCGGAGGTATCGCTGGTATTTAAACTTCAAACATTGAATATATATCATTGTTCAGGGTATGTCCTTCTTTGTTCATCATTGTGTTTTCGAGATTTTTCTGTGCTACTCATAGCTCTTAAATATTGTAACTGCCACAGAGACCTCCAGACCACAATCGGTCAGTTTTCATGTTGAGTCTCCTTGCAGAAGCTTCCCGAGCTACCTCCAGGGGGCGCCCTAAACCTCTCCCCGGGCTGGGCCGTGGTCCCCCCAGGTTCCAGGGGCACCGCGGCCCCTAAAGAGGGAGGGGGTGGCAGCGCCAGGCATCCTCGGCAGTCTGCTTCGTGCCACCCCACCTACCTACTGCGCACTCGAGGCGGCTCTCAAGGCCAAGTGGCCCCAGGGGAGCACAGCAGTGGCAACTTTCTAAGCTGTCCTCCAGGATTCTCCGGCTTGGCTTCCTCTGCACCTCCACCCCACACCTGTCCCTGCGCCATCACTCCTCCATCAAAGTGTTTTCACTGGCAGTTTAGGGAGCCTGGGCAACCTTCAACGTCAACAGCAATAGATGGTAGCCACAACCGTTTATCGAGCACCTATTGTGTATCAAGCACGGTGCCAAGCCCCACATCTGCATTAGTAATGCTCAGGGCAAGCTGACCAGACGGATGCTATCATTATCCCCAGTTCACAAATGAGGGAACTGAGGAAAGGTTGAGGCATTTACCCCTCCCCCAACACCCACTCCCGTTAAGCTGGGCTCCAATGACCTTTGCGGGAAGGGCTGCTGCTGCTGCTGCTTCTAAACCTCCCAGGAGATCACCAGAGTTTACTAGGGCCCCTCATGCCTCAGAAGCAGGTGCCATTCTCTACACACATACCCGCCCCTCTAGACTTGGAGACCTGAGAGGAAAGGCAGGCTATGTTCCCCCAGTCCCAGAATCACCTCTTCCTTTTTATTGAACAGACAGAGGGTGCGGGGAGGTCTCCATGGAGAGTTGCAACTGGGGTCCCCAAACTGGAACTCGACCTGGGGATCTAGGTTAGACCCCACTCCTCCCACCGCTTGCCCAACAGATGATCTGGAACAAGTCAGTTTGCCTTAGTTTCATCACTGGTGAGTGGAATCAATAATTGTCCTATTTTCTGGCATTGTTTACAGGTCAAAATAAGGTATTTCAAGATCCCTACCTTGTGTCAGAGATCTAGAAGGTGCCCCAGGAGTGGTGTTACTGGGTGAGATCTAATTATTTTGAGGGCTGGGGCTCAGGCAAGACTGAGTCAGGCTCTGCCCTCTAGAAAGGGGGTGGTAAGCCCAGACAGGCGCAGAGGAATGCTCTGGGGGACTATTCCGGTGCGGGCCATTTCATTTAAATAGTATCCTGATGAGTAGGAGTTCACCAGGTTGAGAAGGAAGGCAAGGACATTCCAAGGCACAGAACTGGCACAATCATGGGTTTGAGGGTAAGGCAAGAAAAAGTGAGACTGGCCAGAGGAAGTGATCTGAGGCGGACCATGACCAGAGAGGAGGCTAAAGATTAATAGGGACTTATCCTGCCCAGGCCAGGGCTGAGGGTATAAGAAGGGACTGACTCTGTTCTGGAAGCCTTGGAGAACCACTAACCGTCTTACGGAGGGTTCGATGTGGCCAAACTTGTGTTTCCCAGCATCCATCCATCTGCAGCTGGGAAACGGGTTTGTAGGGAGAAG